GCTATAAGTTTGATTGCATCATATAATAATTGCTGTTAGTAGTGTTCATCACGTCTTTAATTGATTTTTCCGTACATTTCTGCCATACGTACATTAACTGACAGTTACAACTAAATATTGTTGAAACTTAATTTGCTGTAAAGTTGCTTTGCAACGATTTGTATCGTGAAACGTGCTATACAAATAAACTTGAATTGATTTGAATTGAATTAATAAAATGTCTTGGTGGTAAATGTCTTAATTATTAAGTCAGCGAGTCATTTATTCATTCATTTGATTCTTCAAGTGCTGATTCATTCAGGAGTGAAGTAAATGGTTCTTTATGAATGGTCCATTGAATCATTAGACTTGTTCGACTTGAAGCGGATCATCACCATCAGACCGATCGGTGTGTGACATCAAAGTACCGCAAGAGCTATAGAGAGCAGACTTTTGATGCTTTTGAATCCCTCTCGCAGTACTTTGATGTCATACAACGATCAGTCTGTGCACTTAGCCTATTGCTCGTGTGATATTGCTTAACTATATGATGTAAATATGAGACAAAAACTCAAACGGGCATTTTTGCCCCATATCTTGAATTTTATGGGCATTTTAACTACGTTCTCTAGGCTCCATCACGCAGTGAGTTGTTGCCCTGCCTCATATTTGTCATCAATCAGCTGTATGAAATGTCAGATGACCCACATAGTTCTGGGGCGGGGCAAGTGCGTTAAATGCGTTAATAATTGTAACCGTAATTAATCTAATTAACGAGTTAAATTACCAGCCCTAATATATATATACATATATATACACACACACATATATATATATATATATATATATTAGTGCTTGGGATTTAACTATTTAAAATTGAAAACATTTTAAAAAGATTGAAAAATTTAACACACTTGCCCCACCCCAGACGTACGGTACAGCTGATTGATGACAAATATGATGCAGGGCAACAACTCACTGCGTGATGGAGCCTATAGAGAATGTAGTTAGAATGTCCCTAAAATTCAAGATATGGGGCAAAAATGCCCGTTTGAGTTTTTGTCTCATATTTACATCATATAGTTAAGCAATATCACACAAGTTCGGATGTGATACTGATCTTATACAACAGTTCAATAAATAAGAAGTGAATATTGTGTTATTTTAGACACCGTGTTATCTGTTTGCTCAATTTTGCCAACGAAAATATAAAGACAAAGCAGAACTGTTTGTCTCCGAGCAACACACAGTGGCATTTCATTTCTTAATCCACGTTTTTAATGAATTGGGTGAACCATTAGGCTCGCTGGATTTGAAGCGGCGCTGCACAGACCGATTGGTGTGTGACATCAAATGTATCGCGAGAGCGATTCAAAAGCATAAGGAGTCGTCTGCTATGGCTCTCGCGGTACTTTGATGTCACACACTGATCGATCTGATGGTGATTATCCGCTTCAAGTTGAACAAGCCTGTAGCGTCTGGACCACTCAAACACACAATATATATTTTGTTAGCTAGATTTCACAAATACTCTGTAACACCCCAGGACGCCGAACAGGACCCTGGTTTCATGGTAACCCGATACATTTACAACTTTGTGGAATGCGAGCAGACTCTCAGCTGCATTCTCCAGAAGCAAGAGGCACAAATGCACAGTAGAAATTTACTTTTCTACTAATTCATTCATAGGAAAACCTTTCTTTGATTGAATACACATATCCTTCAGTTCATTGTGTATACCATTACTGTTCTTGTATATTGTCTGTTGTAGTGTATGCTGTTTTATGCATGTTATGATAGACCACTAGTTAATATAACCTCACCTATATCATGTTTGGTCTCTATGAATTCATCTTCGGATGATCTAACTGAGAGTGCATATTACATGCTGATACCTATGCAACATATTGATGTTCTAAGAATCTTTACTAATTTGTGCATCAACACCCAAGCGAATTACATATGCGAAATACCATGCTTAGAAACAAAGGGCCATAAAAACGCAGAACTCCCACTTGAGATTCCGGACTTCCTCATTGGACAAGCCCATCTTGAGAGGCGTGAATCTCTGCAGGCTTTAAAGGCCACACTTCATGTGACCCGCCCCAGTCGGTGGTTCGGTCAGATGCTAAGATGAAGATGTGAGAAAACGCTTCAGGATACCAAAGCATGGTGCCAGGCCTTTCTTCGGCCTTGTCCTTTCCATTTCAATCAAAATTCTCTGACTCAAAACTGGTTCTTTCGCATCAACCAACTTCAGCAAGATCTTGGGGCCTTAAGATTGCATCAGGAATCTCTTTCAGACAGCCGAGACTCGCAAGTATCAAACTTAGTCGTTTTAATTGATGCATTAAGTATCAGTTACACCTTTTTACAAAGGTGTGTTTGAACTCAGAATCTGACGTATCCCTCAGGCTTAGATCTGCTGAATATGCAAATGGTTCCATAAATGTCATTCCTTATGTAACTTTCTGTACTGAGTTAAACTTTAACCCTTAAATATATTTGATTTAGTTTACAGATAAACAAGGGAAAAACAGTGCGACACGTAACATAGCCTATATACGCTGAATTTCAGTTAATTTTTGTAACGCTTAATTTTTTCACAGAAAGGAAACTCAAATGGCAGAAAGTGACATCCTTTGTTTTCTTTATTTTACAAAAGCACAATGTTTTGTTTTCATTGTGAGTGTACACAATTAAAAGCAGACCTTTATACAGTGATGCATTATTAATAAGACAATAAGTGTTTAAAGTTGATTCTGCTGGTATAAGGAAACAGTTGAAGTGATCACACACACACAAAACACATCAGTTCCAGCATTGCTAACTTGACAGCGCAGTTGGTACTTTATCAAAATAAAATACAGAGAACCAAACATCAGCGCGCCCGCCTCTGTGTCACCGTTGGAACGCGACTGAAGTACAAAGCCTATAATTTACATAATAAATAATAGTTTAGCATTCAGATACGTTACATCGCAAATATGGAAATATTATGGAATATTTGGATTTGGGCCGAGTGAGAGTGGTAGGATACACGAGCACAAAGCTCCATTTTGCAAAAAGTTGAGTGCACAAGCCTTTAAAGTATACTCCTTTGTCAGTCTGTGAGAGACGCGTTCAGAATCAGCACATGGTCACTGTCTAGTGGGCTTTGTTTTCAAGTGCACAACTCATGGCATTCGCTGCTCTTCTGCTGGCGGCCAGTTATCAAACAATGTTGCATTGCTGCGGGCGCCCCCTTCTGGATTGGGGGTGAATTGCCTGTATTCGTTGTAAGGCCTCATGCACCAAACTGAGATGTCCGTACCGTGACCGTTTGGTACGAATACATGTATCGTTCCACCCCTAATATATATATATATATATATATATATATATTAGTGCTACAGAAATTACAAATTATACTGCTTTGTAGCGAAGTGCAAGGAGAAGACGGATCAGAGAGGGCGACTTTAATATTTCTGTGTAGGATGCCCTGCAGTGTATTATGAACCCGTCCATTGAGAAAAGGCTTGATCTTTCCACTGATCTCCAGCATTCTCATTTAGTCTATTATAAGACGAGGTGGAGGCCAGTGCCGCAGTTTCCACTGTCATGAAAACGAACGCCTTTGCTTGTGCCCAGTACTTCTGCCCGCCTGCCGAGGGTGAAAAAAAGACACAAAGAAGCACATTTACCTCATCTGTCCCTGGTGTTTTGGATGTTGCCCTCCAGAAGCTAAAGTAGTTCAGCACTGTGCCTCTCACAGAATCGACTAAAAAGAGCTTGTAAGCATTATGAACATAATGGACTTTAATGAGCATCGAACGCCTATTATTCAAATGTATGCCAAAGATTTTTTGGGCTGTAATGCTATCAGAGATGAAACAAAGATTGCATGAAAATTGTCCCTGAGTTTTACTGAATGGTTAATCGGGCAAGTAATCAATTAAGCGCATGATTGCTTTTGATTTTAATAGCCCTACAGTATATGAAGAGGGCCTATTTTGGCCTTTGCTGCTAACTGTTAGGCATAGCTGTAATTAGACACAGCATGTCCTCATTTAAGGAAGGTCTGTAAGTAATTAGTATCTAATTCCATTGTATCCGTAATAAGGAGAGATGGCATTGTCTTTAAGTGGAAATCACTAAAAGGCTGTTTCCCCCTAGCCAGTTTAGCTTTAAATATTATCCGGGGGTCACTAAATTTAATAAACCCAATCTTCAGGAGGTTTTGGGGGTTTGATCGATGTCTTGCCATGTTGTTCTTCCTTGCTTCATATCTAGGGAATACATTCACGCTCGCTTCCGAAACAGATGCAGTCTTCCGACGTACAGTACCAGGGGGACTATTTGAATGAATTTTAATGAATATTTGAATTTATCTTAATTGATGGATCCCGATGCTTTGGTCACAAAGGGATATGCCAGTAATAATTAATGGGGGAACGTTTGTTCGTAGCGCACATGCTAATGCTAAAGGTTGAGTATTCTCTTTGGTTCTCTCTCTTGTCTTGTAGTTGCTCACAAGGGGACTTTGTGACACACACAGCGTGGCTGAACAAAACGAAATGCAATATCGCACATAAGTTATACCGACCACTTTTATGGTGCGCTTTTGTCACTTTTAGAGCTTGACAGCTCCATTTCCCATTATAACAAGTAAAGGTGCGGTCATATTAGTGAAATTTTTGCAAGCAAAACGATCTATTGTCTGTTGTCAGTAGTGTAGCAATGAAGCACTGCTCACACTGAAGTCTCTTTCAAGCCAAGCAGCTTTCTGTTGGTTATAATTTGACCAACTTTAACCCATTGTGAAATGTGTGTTTGAAAATCTTTCAAAATTTCTGTTGAAATTCCCTGCGTGGATTCCTATTGAAAAAAAATGCACAGTGATGCATATGACCGCACCTGAACACTCTGGATATTCTACAATATTTATTTTGTATTTCCTGTAAGAAAGAAAGTCTCGTCAAGTTTTGTAATAACTATGAGAGTGAGAAAATAATGACAGAATTTTTAATTTTTAGGTGAATTATCCCTTTAATGTGCTTGTGCATGTTTGTGAACACATGCTAGATATGCAGTCTATGTTTGTACAGGTATAATAGCATTTTTAGAGAGGCCATTTTTCAGTATCGGTTAGAAACACCTTGAACTCCAGTTATGATATTGGGTATTTTAATGAAGTGGATAATTATGTAATTAATGCTGATTGTGTAAAACCTTAGGGTGCATTTTTTTGCTCCTGATTTGTGGGTCCAGTGTTAATAAGATTGATGGCAGTGTCATTCCTGTGCATTGATGCAGTAAGTCATAACAGTGCCGACCGGAGGTACTGTACACTGACTAGAGATTTAGTGCACAGCATGTCACCACTGCAGAATTCCAGCTTTCATTGCAAAACTCATTCAGTAATATTGTGGGAATTTGGGATAATCTTTTTTGGTAGTTAATTTTTAATTCCAGCACTATTTCTCCATTGAATTAATAATGACTGCAGAAAGGAACTGGGGAAAAAGTTCTTCTAAATTGCGCTGGTATAAACATTAACGGTGGCCATGATTTTTCCAAAAGTGGTCCTGGATCAGCATCCTTCAACATGGATATAGATATAGAAATGCGTATGGATGGGGTGGGCTGGTATTCAGAGGCAGGATAGCCAATCAAGAGCCACAGACATGAATAGAATGGGAAAACTAGGTAACATTCTCCTGGTATAACAGTGTATAATATGATCTTGGCTTATCCACCTTATCAGTTTATCATTTTCCTCAGATTTTAGAGAATGTTTTTCCTGGGCCAACAAAATATTTGCACTTGGCAGACTCATAGTTATAGTGGATCCTAACCAACATGATCAGAAAAATTTGTTAAAGTGAATGTTCAGTCATACTACATGACAGAAGGTTAAACTAGTCTAACATACTACATAAACAAACACACACACACACACACGCATACAGTTGGTATAGGAAAGGGTTAAAGCTTAAGCAGTAAAGAGCAGAGAAATAAAAATATGAAGTTATGGAACCATTTGATATTCAGCAGATTTACTGCCTGAAGGAAACATCAGATTCTTAGTTCAAACGCACCTTTGTAAAAAGGTACAAATGATACTTAATGTATCAATTAATAAAACTAAGTTTGAATTCTTGCACGTCTCGTCTGTCTGAAAGAGAGGCTTGATGCAATCTGAAGGCTCGAGTTGATCTTTGCTGAAGTTGGTTGATGAAAAAGAACCAGTTTGAGTCAGAGAATCTTGGTGAATGGAAAAGT